GCCCGCCCCATTGGAGGGGGGAGGGGGAGGTGCCCGCCCCGTGGAGGGAGGGGGAGGCGCCCGCCCCGTGGGAGGGGGGAGGGGGAGGCGCCCGCCCCGTGGGAGGGGGGCGGGAGGCGCCCCGAGAGAACTTCCGAGCGGCCGGAAAGCGGCGCGGGCACCTACCGGAGTCGGCCAGGAGGCCGCAGGCGCAGAGCAGCGCGCCGCACAGCGCGGCCAGCACGCGGGGCCCCGGCATGCTCGCGGACACCCGCACGGGACAGGACGACGGGACTCACCGGCCGAAGGGCTGCGGGACGGCTTCTCCCTGCGGCTGGGCTCCGGACCGGAATAAATACGGCCTCTCAGCCCCGCCCACCGGCTCCGCCCAGACCAGTCAGAGGCGCGCTTGGAGGCGGCACCGAGACGATTCGGGGCGTGGCTGACCTGGGGGCGTGGTCGCGGTGTAGGGGCGTGGTCTCCATGCTGGGGGCGGGGCAGACTTTGCTGGAGGCGTGGCTGTACCGACGGGGGCAGAACTGAGCGTCTGGGTGGGACTGAGCTGACGGGGGCGTGGCCTCGTTCGTAGGGGCGTGGCTTAGGTGCTGGGGGCGGGGCTGAACTACTGGGGTGGGCAGACGCGGTATGGGGGGGGTCTGGGGCCCCGCCTCCAAAACCTGGGGTGGGTGTGGCTCGGGCTCAGGGGCAGAATGCTTGCCGGCTTAGCAAGCTGCAACCCTGGCTGGATTCCAGTGCCCAGCACCGTGAAAACAAACAAGAAAAGAATTTTGTAAAACACAAAGGCTGTGGGAGAGAGCCATGAAAGCGGGGACCCTGGCGGAGATGCATCGCATGCATGAACTGCTCTGTCCTAGGGCAGCCGCTGTGCACAGCTGCTGACAGATGATGCAAGGAAATAAATAAATATTACTGACATATGTAGGAGGCGAGGTGCTGGCAGCTCACAGCTGTAATCCTGGATACCCAGGAGGCTGAGATCTGAGGACTGAGGTTTGAAACCAGCCTGATCTGGAAAGTCAGTGAGACGCTATCTCCAACGACCCTACACACGTAGGTCTCACAAATGAATCAATGACATGCTTCAAATAAAGACGCTAAAGCTTATTCAGAAGCAGACACACTGGAGTGTGTGTGTCATGTATCGGCTTGGCCAGCTTGGAGTTGCTAACAGTTTTGTCTGTGCCCGGCTGGAGGGGGCCTACATTGGCTCAGCTTCTTTCTGGTTAAACCCAATCAGAATGACAAATGCCCACAGGGGAAGACCCTGGAGTTCTGGCTTCAGGCCTCTGCACCTCTGAACCCTGCATGGGAGTGACATTTGCAATAAGGCAGAGCAGCGGCATTAGCAACCGCAAAAAGACCAAAAAAGGAATCAGCCGCCAGTCTCTGTAAAGATTCCAAACAAAATATTTTAGAACTCGTGGGCCCTCAGGTCTCCGAGGTAACAACAAATGTCTGCCCTTGTCTCAGGAAAGAAGCCGTCTACAATGGCAAGGAAGTGAGCAGCGTGTGTGGCCTGATGCCTTGCTTGCCCAAGTACAATCCATCTACAAATAAATGATTTTAATAGCAATGCCCCAGTCGGCCCACAACATGAAAATCGAAGAGCAAGCCACACGTCAGCCCCGGAGCCTGTGTGGAAACCCACACCCACACTGGAGTTCTGATTTCAGGGCCTTCCACTGGCTGGGCAAGGCGCTCTACCACTGCTGAGCCATGCCTCCAGCCCTGTTTTTCTTTAATTTATTTATTGTGCCTAGACTGGGACTTGAACTCAAAGCCTGGGCAACGCCCCTTGCTTTTTCTCTGAAGCTAACACTCTACCACTTGAGCCACAGTTCTACGTCCAGCTTTTCCAGGATTCATTGGAGATAAGAATCTCAAGGACTTTTCCTGTCCAGGCTGGCTTCGAACTGTGATCCTCAGACCTTAGCCTCCTGAGTAGCTAGGATGACAGGGATGAGCCACCATCATCCGACTGCAGGTTGTTTTTGAAAGACGGTCTCACTTACTGCCCTTTTGTAGAGACGGAGTCTCTGCCGAGGCTGGTCTGGAACCTCGATCCTCCCAGATCTCCATCCCAGCTTGAGATGCAGACCTGCACCACTTCATCGATCCATGGGTTGAGAAAGGGTCTGAGGAACTTTTCTGCCCAAACTATCCTCAAATTGAGACCCTCCTGGTCTCAGCCTTCCAAGTAGCTGGGATTTACAGGCATGAGCCACCGGCGTCTGGCTCAAGACACTCTTCATTAGACTGTTTCAGGAGCCAAGCCTGGTAGCACACACCTGTATAATTCAGCACTCGGGAGACTGAAGCAGAGAAGGGGAGTTGGAAAATGGAGGATGAACAACACCATATGTATTTTAAAAGGTCATCCAACCAGACATGTTAGCAGACAGGATGTGTAGGGTTAGGCAAAAGAAGGGACCCGGGATACCACTGAGGCTCTGCCCAGCCTCAGCTGACAAACACACTGAAGTCAATCACCAGGTAATTGACTTCAATCACCTAGAGCAGGAGATCTCCTAGTGTCTGGGACTGCGCCCAGTGCCCAGCATGAAGGAAAGCCCTCCCCCAAGTATCCAGTGGCTGAATACTGTCACTGTCTCCCCTGGGCAGCTTCCGAGCCACCAGAGGAGGTGACAGGAAACAGTTCTTGGCCAGGCGCCTTGGCTCACGCCTGTAATCCCAGTTACTTGGGAGACTGAGAACTGAAGATGCCAGCCTGAGCGGAGAAATCCCTGAAACTCTTATCTCCAATGAACCACCCAAAAGAGACGTGGAGCTGTGATTCAAGTGGTAGAGCACGCACCTTGAGCGGAAAAGCTCAGGGACAGCGCCCAGGCCCCGAGTGTAAGCCGCTGGTCCAGCCCCTCCAGCTCCCGTTCCAGTATCCACACACCACCAGCAGCGCCACATCGCACCTTCCACGCCTGCCTCTTTCTTCCAAACCAGATGCCCTGGCTACGCAGCGTGATCTGCCAGCCAACGCCAGCCTGGGACCAAACAACCCGCTTTTGTGTTCAAGCCAGAGGCCAAGGGCAGGAGGCCAGGGCCAGGGGTAAACAGTGGACAAGTAGACAAGTGTTTTCTCCAGGAAAGTGGGTGGGTGGCTCCGATTCTCCTCTTCCTCGCGGGATTTTCCACACTGCCCTGGGGAATTCTGACCACCGCTGTTCTCCATGTCTGGCTGCTGCTTCCTTGACGTCTTGACTGATTTCTTCTCTGGACGTCCACGGCCCTGACACTTGGCGCCAACCCTTGAGCCCTGGCTCACAGCTGAGCGGTGCCCTTGCATGAGACGGGAAAAGGCCTGGGCCCTGGATCTGAGTCCCAATTTCCCATCTCCCCTACCTTCGAGAGGCTCCGCTGAGGGCCAGGCTGCTCCACAAGTTACCTTCTCAGGCTGAGCTTGGTGGTTCATGCCTGGAATCCCAGCTCTTAGATTTCAAGTTGAAGGCCAACCCCAGGCCACCCAATGAGACCTTGTCTCAAATGAATAAATGACAAAAACCAAGCAGAAGTTGCGTCCTTTCCTCCTTCCCACACACTGGCCTGTGACTGGGGAGCGGGGAGGGGGGGGGTGCTGAAGTTTGTAGAAAGGGCCGGGCCTGGGGTGCGCATTTGGTCGGCAGAGTAGAAGGTTATGGAAGGAAATGTCTTAGATAAGATGTTTTTATGGGGCTGCTCGAAGCCTTCTTCAGAGGTCCAGCTAGACATCTGGACAACACATCTCAGGGCCCACTCCGCAGGAAGAGCACTTCCGGAAGAACGTTACGTTTTCTCAGGAATCAAAAGAAAGCCAGAATCGGGCCAGGCGGCTCGCACTCAGCCACCGAGCCCCGTGAGAGGCTGAGGGGCTGAGGACGGGGGTTCCAGGTCAGCCCAGGCAGAAGAGTCCACGGACTCCATCAGCTCCATGGAGGAAAGCTGGACACCGTGGGCCAGTCTGTCAATCCAGCTGTGAAGAGCTTTGAAGAAGAGGGAGGGAGGGAGAGAGGGAGGAATGGAGGGAAGGAGGGAGGGAGGGAGGGAGGGAGCCAGTCCTAACTTGGGCAGGATGGGGTGGGGAGGGAGAGAGACTGTGAGGAGTGACTAGCCCAGTTCTTCCCTTAACAGCGCCCCCTCCCCCCTCCCCCCAGCCCCCCCTCCCCCGCTAACCCTAGGGAATGTTCACTCATTCACTCATTTATTCAAGAACAGTGTTTGAAGGATGAGGGATCGGGTTCAAGTGGTAGAAAACGCCTGCCCAGCAAGCACTGAGCCCAGGGTTCAAATCCCAGTCATCACCACCACTAACAACCAGAAGGCAATTCACCCCCAGTTTTCACGACGAATTTAAGGGAGTACCTTTCAGATCCCACAGATGAGGGGGAAATGTCCCAGAGAGACCTTTTATCTAGCTAAAAGCAGGCTCCTCAGGGCTCTCTTGGGCGTAGGCCTAGTCGCAGGGAAGAGGGACGGTAAGACTCCCAGAAGTGTGCTCTGGGATGGCAGGTGGCAGAAGACAGAACCAGGTGTGTAAACAGCCGCATCTGCTTCTCATCTCCCTTTGTTCGAAAAGTCCCGTCCCATCCCTCCACTGCTGAGTCAGGTCCATGTTTTTGTCCACAACCAAGAGTTCGTAAGGAACAAACAAAAAATGTCTTGGCTCACCTCGCTAATCCTAGCTGCTCAGAAGGCTAAGATCTGAGAGGGTCAAGGTTCCAAGCCAACCTGGGCAGGAATGTCTGTGAGACTCTGATCTCCGGGGAGCCACCGAAAAGCTGGAAGTAGACCTGTCCCCATGAGCAGCACCAAGGCCCTGAGTTCAAGCCCCGCAACGGATTAAAAGTCTAAATTGATCCTGGCCTTCAGGCCGGAGCCCTGAGAATGCACACCCTAAGACTCTAGGCCCTGGCTCCCCGGGCCACAAGGGGCGAGCCTGGTCTCTAGCCCTGCTGTCCCACCCTGGCTTTCCTGAGAGTCCTGCAGCCTGACAAAAAGAACTGTTCAGGATGTGGGCTGTGAGCCAGAGTCCATTCCCTCCTGGGAGCAAAGTTGTTTGTCCTTCTGGAATCTGGACTCCACACTAATGTCTGGTGGGGCGGCGGGGGGGGGGTTGTTGTGGGGCGCGCTGACCCCTTCAGAGTCACCCACACAAATTGCATTTTCCCAACAAGCCAGCTCATACCTGCTGACTCTGCCGGGACTCACCCCAGTGCCGGAGGGTGCTGAGCCCCAGGCCTGGTCTGGGTTCATTCCCACCCCCACCCAAGCCCAGCCAGGCCCCGGAAGCGGCTCCAGATGCAGCTGAAGCTTTGAAATCACCCCCTG